ATCGGTGTAGAGGACGAAGGGCTGGTCTGCTGCTGGCAGCCGCAGCACGGTTGCTGTCTTCACGGCTGTCATGAGGTCTTGCAGTGCTTCCCTCTGCTGTTCTCCCCACTCCCATACCTTGTCCTCTCGCAGCATCCCGTTCAGCACTGCCGCCCGCTTACTGAAGTTAGGCACGAGCGAGTGACCTGTCTGGTCACTCGCTCCCTTACCAGCCGTATGGGCTCACGCACATCTCCTTCCATGTCTAAATGCTCCAGCAGGTACGCCACCCTGCCTTGTTGAGCCTGCAGCCATTCCATCACTCTGAACAAGTCCTCCATCAGCTGTGTTCGCAGGTCTTGCTCACCCTTGCCTTTCCCAGCCCATGATACCCCTTGGCACTCCCACCCAGCCACTAACAGGTCCACGTGCCCCCAGCTTGCCACCTCAGCTTCTGTGATGGCCCTGACGTCGTTGACTCCTCTGCTCATTGCTGCCCTGATCACCTCTTCCTTCAACAGCTCCGGGAACTCGCTGTGCAGCTGCCATGCATGATGCTCCGCCATTTTCCTTGCTTCTGCCGCCTTCTCTACGTAAATCCACTGCTTCACTGCTATCCCGTTCCGTACCACCGCTGCCAAACCCGCCCCTATGCCCCCGAAGAGTTCCACCAGGCGGATAGGTTGCTGCCAATCGGATTGTTGGCTGGGCTCGTCCATGAAGTGCATCCTCGGCTGTCCACCCTGTTCCTTGTTCCTCGCGGTCTCCTGTGCCCCCTGCTTCGCTGCCCCCTCCTTCAGATCCGCCCTGTAAGCCCGCTTTGGCTCTGTCTTGACGAACTGCACCGGCAGCTGTCCCAGTGGCTCACCCTTCTTCCACCACCTGGTTCTGAATTCTACCGTCTCCTTCCAAAAGCAGATGGTCATGCCCAGTGCAAAGATCATCTCCGTGCCCACCAAAACGTCGAAATCTTCAGATTCTGAGATCCCACACCTGATCCTCACCGGTGTTTCGTGCTTCTCTCCTTTGAGCACCGTCAGTTCTATTGGAGTCCTTGTGCATGGCATCCACTTTGACTCTCCTCCCTCTGCTGTCATCACCAGCATTCCCTTCACTACATGTCTGTCCGGCGCCCACAGTCCCAGTTTTTCTGCCATTCCCCTCCCTAGTATCACGCTCTGCGCGCCCGTGTCTATAATAGCCGTCTTCGCCTTCTCCCCTTCTACTGACAGCGCACCTCCTTGTATCAGCAGCACTGAAGTCTGGCACGCCAGCCGCTCCTGTGGATGCCGTGCCGCTGTACACCTCTCTTCCTTCTCCTCCGGTTTCTGTCCTCTCTCTCGCTCCTTCCTTACCTGGTCCTTCCGTGCATCCTTTCCTCCGCTGCGTAGCCCCATCTCCTCCCTTCCTCTCCATGCCATGTATGCTGGCTGCTCCTCGTGTTCCACCTCATCCTTCGCTTTGCCTGCCCAGCTCATGAAAGCGGCCTCCTCATCTTGCTCTACATCCTCTTCCTTTTCCTTCCCCGCGTACATCCCCGCTTCTGCCTCGCGTCGTGGTCCCATTGCCTGCAGCTGAGCCTGCAGCCTGCCAATCTGCTTTTCCAGGTCCTCTGGTGTCCTCTTCGCCGCTCCTTCCCGCTGATAACACTCCCTTGCTGCATGCCCTCCCTTCCCACAGATTTCGCACTTCGGAGCTGTTGGGCATTCCCGCCGCCGGTGCCCTGGCTTACCACAGGAGTCGCAGTTCTTGCAGTCTCTGCGCAGGTGCCCTGGCTGCCCGCATCGGTGGCACGTTCGTGCGTCAGTCCTGCTATCCCCTCTTCCCCCTGCCCTTTCCTTTTCCTCTGGTATCATGGCTGCTGCCCATGTAGGTCCTCTGCCACGCTCCGCTGGTCGTTGCCGGTAGGCTTCAAGCTTCCTCTGGGCCATCTCCATCTTCTCAGCTAGCTCAAACACTTCATCAAGTGTCACTTCAGCCCCCATCTCATATACTTTCAGCCTCAGCCCGCTTCCCAAGGTACCCTCCAGGTCGTCCAGGAACTTGCTCACAAGCAGGCCCATGTCCGCACAGCTCACGTCCTCCGCTATGTTGACCAGCCGATTGTAGTAGGTGAGTAGTGACTCTCCCCGCCCCTTCCTAAAGTCTTGAAACTCTCTGATCTTCTCTGCAGTGTGGCCTGGGAACTGCCGCTTCAGCCGCCTCAGAAATTCTTCGGTTGGGTCCTCCCCATACCTTCCTGCCCTCTCCAGTAGCTCATTCATCTTCATCCTGTATAACGTTTCTGCCTCCCCCTCCAGTGTGTTTGGCAGGCTCAGAAAGAAGTCCACTGCATCCATGCCGCCCCTCTCGCATCTGTACCGCACGTTGCCCACTTGCATGAGATAATTCTTCAGTGTGGGCCCCAATCGCTGGTCCCCAGAGAAGCGTGCTGGTACTTCCACCCTTGTGACCATGGCTGTACTTCCCTTTCCTTCTCCCCACGCCTCACTATATCTCTCTGCTGTCCTGCCTGCCGTTCCCCTCTCTCCCGCCCGCCGTATTCCCTCCCTCGCCTCTCTGGCTCGCTCCAGGCTGTCCATCAGCCCGCTGCCTCCCACTCTGCTGCTGCGCAGATCTTGTCCTCCTTCGCCGGCACGCCTCTCGTCATGTTGCCGATAACGCTCTGGCGAACGTGCCCCACCGCTTTGCCTTATATCCCTGCTCCGCTGCCGCGGTGGCGAGCGATGTCTGCCCCCGTGACTCTCCTCAAGCTGCTGCCGCCAATCCGGCGAGCGCGCCTCGCCTCTCCACCCTCCTCCAGGATACCGTTGCGCGTCAGGCGAGCGCTGGACATCTCTGCTCCTCCCATCATGATAGCGCTGCAGATCTGGTGAGCGTGAGCCCCTCTCGCTCCTCCCGCCGTGATACCTCCGCGGATCTGGTGAACGCGTGCTGTCTCCGCGCTCCTCCCCACGACGCTGCCGTGGATCTGGCAAGTGGTGACCACTTCCGCGCATTTCGTCGTGCCACTGCCGCACATCAGTCGAGCGGTAGCCGCCGTCGCGCCTGTCCTCACGCTGCTGCCGCGAATCTGGCGAGCGGTTGCCGCCGTCACGTCTGTCCTCGCGCTGCCGCCGCGGATCTGGCGAGCGGTAGCCGCCGCCGCGCCTCTCGTCACGCCGCAGCCGCGGATCTGGCGAGCGATGGTCGCCGCCGCGCCTCTCGTCACGCTGCAGCCGCGGATCTGGCGAGCGATGGTCGCCGCCACGCCTCTCGTCACGCTGCCGCCGCGGATCTGGCGAGCGATGGTCGCCGCCGCGCCTCTCGTCACGCTGCAGCCGCGGATCTGGCGAGCGATGCCCGCCGTCGCGCCTCTTGTCTTGCTGCAGCCGCGGATCTGACGCATGCCTCTCGCCACCATGATTCTGGTCGTGGTGCTGATGGGGGGTCGGCGAGCGCGATCCACGGCTACGCCTCCTGTCGTCGTTGCCTTCTTCACCACGCGTCTGGTTCCGCGCACCATCCTTCCCGCCTATTTCTGCCGCGCCTGGCGCAGCCTCCTCGCTCGCCAGCATCGGACTGGCTTCCTTGACTTCGGCGTGCATATCGCGCTGCTCGCCCGCGCCTTCCTCATGGGCCTCGTCATCGCCCTTCGCTTCACTCTCGAGATCCATTTCCTGCGGCTTCTCCGCCATATCGACCTCGCCCTCCCCATCCACATCGAGATCTCCTTGCCGACCAGAGAATAGCTCCTCCAGGCCACGCCCGCGACTGCGATCTTCGCGACGGCGGTAACCTTCGTCCGGCGAGCGATACGCTCCCGTGTCGTGGCGATGTCCGCATTCGCCACCAGCCCCGTGGTGCGTATCCGTCCGCCACGGGTCACTTCCCATCCTGACGGACTCGGATCCGCCTCTTCCTTCGCGCTCTGCACCTTCTTCACGGCGATCTGGCGCGAGAGGGACCAGATCGGCGCGAAAAGCCGGCCTCCGCGGCGAGCGCTCAGGCCTCCGCGGCGAGCGGTCAGGCCTCCGCGGCGACCTCTCTAGCGAACGCCCGCGCTCTCGTGAGCGCTCCCGCCGCGAGCGATCACCCTCACGACGATCGTACTTCCTGCCATAACGCAACTCGTGCACATCCATGCTTGCACGCGCACCTTTCTGTTTGTTATGAAAGAGTGGTAACTCTCACCTCAAAGGTCCTCTCTGAGTGGTGTGCCACCTGTAGGCAAATCTGAGGTAACAACTGTCCACTATACGAAAGGATAACAAACAGAAAGCATTGTGTGTGTGTGTGAGAGTGAACTTACCTGTCCCTGGCTCGAGCCGTGCATTTCTCAATGTGCGGCTTGAGCCTGGGTTGGGTTTGTTCCCATTGGTCGCGAGGATTTCACCCCCTGGTGTTCTCCTACCAACTTCGCGTCAATTTCCCAGCCTCCCACCTACCCATCCTTGAGCCTGCATACAACAAATACAACACATTACTACACCCTTTCTACACCACAATCATACTGGCACCTTATATGCACAAACGTACATATTCGGTGACACAGGAGGCATGAAGAGCAGGCAGAGCGAAGGGTAGGGAGAGCAGAGCAGTGGCAGGCAGAGCAGTGGCAGGCAGAGCATTGGCAGGCAGAGCAGTGGCAGGCAGAGCTAAGGCACCAATGGTTATATGAATGAAGCGCAGCGGGTGGAGTGGGGATGGCACAGGCAATGTTTTGTGCCCCGATTTTCTTTGTTAGTTTCTGATCTTTATGTTCACAGTGAGGACGTTTGCTGGACTTGTGTTTGTAATAAACATCTTCCTGTAAACCTGTGCTGTGCTGCCTGCATTGCTCACAAAGCTGCGAAATTTCTTGAGAATCGTAGGGGAGCAAGGCAGATAGCACCCTCACATCTGTTCGAGCTTCTGTAGTTGGCTGATGGCGGCTGGCAGAGTGCCGGTGAGATGGTTGTTGGCCATGTAGCTGATGGTGCACAATGGCAATGGCAATGGCAATGGCATGGAGACACAGTGTAGGGCCTTAGGCCATGCGGCTAAAGTAGCTGACGGGCAATGGCAATGGCAGGGAGACGGTTGGGAGGGAGGCAGTACAATTGTGACGAGAGGGAGACATTGTAGCTGACGGGCAATGACAATAGCAATGTCAGGGAGACAGTGCGATCAGAAGCAGCACATGCAATGCAAGAGCAGTGCGGGCTGATGCAGGAAAGCACCATGGGGCAGAGGTGGGAACACTTAAGGGCACTTAGTAAGGGGGTCCCTTGACCCTTGAGGCTTACAGGTATTTCAGATTCGTCGTGGTGAATATGGCTGATGGGATGGTGCCTGTCAGCTGGTTGTTGTTGAGTAAACTGCAGGACATGGTAAGGGGTGTATTGGTTGAGTCATGAGAAAAGTGCTGAATGCATAGGCTGCCTGTCACTGCAAAGGCTCGAACATGACTTTTGTACACGACGGTGAGGCAGGGAGAGAGGCAGTTGGTGACGGCCCTGTTGTGGCACAAGAAGAGAAGGCTCACCCACATGCCCTCGAGGGTGGTGAGGGTGGAGATGGAGTCGGGAATAGCAGGCAGGCAGGCAGGCAGAGGCAGGGAGGCAGGGAGGGAGGGAGGGAGGGAGGCAGTTGGGGACAACCCAGTTGTGGCACAAGAAGAGAAGAAGGCTGACATGCCGTCGAGGGTGGTGAGGGAAGAAATGGAGTCGGGAATAGCAGGCAGGCAGGCAGGCAGGCGGGCAGGAGGGCAGGAGGGCAGGGAGGAGAGTTGGGGACAACCCAGTTGTGGCACAAGAAGAGAAGAAGGCTGACATGCCGTCGAGGGTGGTGAGGGAAGAAATGAGTCGGGAATAGCAGGCAGGCAGGCAGGCAGGCGGGCAGGAGGGCAGGAGGGCAGGGAGGAGAGTTGGGGACAACCCAGTTGTGGCACAAGAAGAGAAGAAGGCTGACATGCCGTCGAGGGTGGTGAGGGAAGAAATGGAGTCGGGAATAGCAGGCAGGCAGGCAGGCAGGCGGGCAGGAGGGCAGGAGGGCAGGGAGGAGAGTTGGGGACAACCCAGTTGTGGCACAAGAAGAGAAGAAGGCTGACATGCCGTCGAGGGTGGTGAGGGAAGAAATGGAGTCGGGAATAGCAGGCAGGCAGGCGGGCAGGAGGGCAGGAGGGCAGGGAGGAGAGTTGGGGACAACCCAGTTGTGGCACAAGAAGAGAAGAAGGCTGACATGCCGTCGAGGGTGGTGAGGGAAGAAATGGAGTCGGAAATAGCAGGCAGGCAGGCAGGCAGGCGGGCAGCCGGGCAGGAGGGCAGGGAGGAGAGTTGGGGACAACCCAGTTGTGGCACAAGAAGAGAAGAAGGCTGACATGCCGTCGAGGGTGGTGAGGGAAGAAATGGAGTCGGGAATAGCAGGCAGGCAGGTGGGCAGGAGGGCAGGAGGGCAGGGAGGAGAGTTGGGGACAACCCAGTTGTGGCACAAGAAGAGAAGAAGGCTGACATGCCGTCGAGGGTGGTGAGGGAAGAAATGGAGTCGGGAATAGCAGGCAGGCAGGCAGGCAGGCGGGCAGGAGGGCAGGAGGGCAGGGAGGAGAGTTGGGGACAACCCAGTTGTGGCACAAGAAGAGAAGAAGGCTGACATGCCGTCGAGGGTGGTGAGGGAAGAAATGGAGTCGGAAATAGCAGGCAGGCAGGCGGGCAGGCGGGCAGGAGGGCGGGGAGGAGAGTTGGGGACAACCCAGTTGTGGCACGCGAAGAGAGGAGAAGGCTCACATGCCCTCGAGGGTGGTGAGGGTGGAGATGGAGTGGGGAATCGACCCTGTGAAGTTGTTGCTGCTGAGATCTCTGAGCCACAACACAAGTGAAGGAAAAACAAGACCGAGCAATGCGGGAACGTATAGCACAAACCCCATGGTGCTGGGAACAAGATTGAGCAAGTGATGTTTAGAGTGGGACAAGAACGAACAGACTGTCTCAGAGTTGGAGGCTTACTTACATTTCTACACATCTAACGTTCCAGCGTGAGAAGTCAGGTAAGGAGCCCGTGAAGCCATTTCCGCCCAGGCTACTGCACGGTGCAAGAAGAGCGAATGAGACTTCCAAGGGTATAAAAGCTAAGCATCTAAGGGGAAAAATGGCACCAGGCACACACAGTAATGGTAGCACCCACCCAGTCGCTGCCCTACTTACAGCGTTCTAAGAGAAGTTGTGACACTAAGAGTCCCTGGGAGTTCCCCTGAGAGGAAGTTGTTAGCTATTTCTCTGTGTTGCGATGGAGGCGTATAGTGAAGGGGCTGAATGCAGCAGTCTGAAACTCAAGCAAACCGCCAAAGCACATGCATGCATCGTGGGCCTCAGAGAGACAGGCAACAAGCTTGGGGTGGAAAGTTGAATACTTGGGCGATGCAGGGAAGGGAAACACTCACGAATCAAGTAGTATGCATGTGGATTCCTAATCTAGTATGCGGCAGCGAAACAGAGTAATTGCTGAGTACCATATGACATGAGGACAGTTGAGATCGGTTTTGTAAGCACCGTTTGATTGAGAGAAGGAATTGAACGCACACCAAGGTGGAAAATGGAAGAAATTATCTTTTTGAAACAAGTATAACGGAGCTACTTACAGCGAGGACAACATGGGTAGCCGAAGCAGGTCGGATGGGATGGTTCCATGGAAATTGTTGTCATTGAGATTTCTGGAACCGGGCAATGGTATCAAGAACCACAACATGACACCGTCTTTCAAGCAGACTTGCCAAAGAAATCCTCTACTCTATTCCGAGTCATTGCTTGCCCTACTTGGCGATTGTTCCTTTTTTTGTTCGTATCCCATCCCTTTTAGTCCTACTGCACTTCCAAGGACAGCCCTGAAAGTTTTAGAAGCTTGTGCGCCCATAACCACAAGCTGACTCACAAGTCCCCTTGATAAGCCTAAAGAAATTCTGTGCTGTATCAAGCAATTGCGCCACTCACATATCTCCCAGGTTGACATGCTTGGCCAATTCGCGGGGGATGGTCCCTGTGTGACTGTGTTGTTGCCAAAGTTGAATCACAACAAGTCTCCTTGATGAACCTGATGGAATCTGTGCAGTATCAAGCAGCAGTGCCACTCACATATCTCCCACGTTGAGAAGCTTGGCCACTTTGCGGGGGATAGTCCCTGTGAAACTGTTGTTGCCCAAGTTCCTGCCATGGCCATTTCAATTGCCACATTATTTGCTCCGATAGTTGTTTCAGGGTGAAAAGGCGGGAAGCACAATACGTCATATCTCAAAGGAAATAGAGGCATTTGCTCCATCAGTGCAGCATGAGCAACAGGTCGACCCGACCGAGGGTTTTGACCAGGTTGAGTCACTCATTTGGAGGGCTTGACCAGATCAGATCAGCCTGACCCAACCTGACCTGACCCAACCTGACCTGACCCAACCTGACCCGACCCAACCAGACCTGACCCAACCTGATGTGACCCAATCTGATCTGAACCTTGAGTCGGGATTTTCCAGCTGGTCGACCCAACCTGACCCTGGGTATATGCCGAACCAACCCGACTCTAGGGCTGGGTGGTTTGGGATAATTTTTAGGCCTACTCGAGCCGACCTGACTAAAATTGGACCCAGTCAGTCAGGTCAGGTCGGGTCAGGTTGGGTCGGGTTGACACGTTGCATGCACATGCCTAAGTGCAACGCAACTCGTTTTTGTGCGTGAATGTGTTACAAAAATACAAGGGCCACGTATGGACGTGTTACGTGTTCAGAGAGAGCCACGTACAGGGATACAAGGCTCTTCTGGCGCAAAATAAACTCGGGAAAGGTTCCCGTAAATCGGTTGTTCCCAATGTCCCTGTATAGGGTCCAAGACACACACAGGGTGGGTGGGTGGTGGGGGGGGGGGGGAGACGATGAAACAAATACATGGAGAGTGGAGCATGGGAACGAATGCCTTCAGGCGCTCATATACCATGAATTTAAAAAGCACTGCCACCAGAAATTATTATAAAATCATGCACCAAACTACTCAGGTGACCTTACAATAGGGCCAGTCATTACGCTAACTGTTGCTCGATGCCACCGACCCGTATAGGTGCGATAAAAGGGGTTGATTGGTGCACTGCACTGATAAGGTGAGAGATGGATCGAGTGCACTCACAGGCGTGTGAGGCCACTGATTGCCGTTAAGGACGCTGGAAGCACACCAGAGAAGTTGTTGGTATGAAGGCGTCTGCAAAGCAGCACCAGAAAAAAACATCTCAGGTGTTGCGGGCAGCCAAAGTGGACCAAGGGAAGCGAGGGAAAGCAAGGTCCCCTCCAATAGGAGGCCGCTGAGGTGGCGAAGAGGGGAGAACACTAACATGGTATCAAGCCATGGCATCTGAGTCACCCCGTCAAGGCCTGACCTGAGATTGTTGAGAATTCGCAAAAACCGCCACTCACATGGTATCAAGCCATGGCATCTGAGTCACCACGTCAAGGCCTGACCTGAGATTGTTGACCGCAATGTCTCTGTCACGCGGAGCGCGCGCGCACGCACACACACACACACACACACACACACACACACACACACACACACACACACACACACACACGCACACACGCACGCACACGTGTGAGAGGCAACAATCACACTGCTCCTGGGAACACAGCAACCAGTAACATGTGAGGCCATGCAACCGACTCTGCAAGCAGCCAGTAACATGTGAGGCCATGCAACCGACTCTGCAAGCAACCAGTAACATGTGAGGCCATGCAACCGACTCTGCAAGCAACCAGTAACATGTGAGGCCATGCAACCGACTCTGCAAGCAACCAGTAACATGTGAGGCCATGCAACCGACTCTGCAAGCAACCAGTAACATGTGAGGCCATGCAACCGACTCTGCAAGCAACCAGTAACATGTGAGGCCATGCAACCGACTCTGCAAGCAGCCAGTAACGAAGGCCCTGCAAGGCACAGCAATGAAGAACCAACCGAGTAACATGTGAGGCTGCGGACTTGATTCTGCTGTGCAGCAGTTGTGGCTCAGTGGGGGCAGAGAGAGGGAGAAAGGGGGAGAGCAGCATGGGGAAAGTATCAGAGAGCTCTCATGCCAGCGAGGCATGTGAGGGCAGGGAGGGAGAGGCAGAGGGGACAGGGTTTAGGAAGAATGAGGGGGCACAGTATGGGGAGACATACAGAGCACTCATGGCAGTGAGGCGTGTGAGGGCAGGGGTAGGAAGAAGGAGGGAGCGCAATATGGGGAGAGACGTACAGAGCACTCATGGCAGTGAGGCGAATGAAGGTGCTGGGGATGGCTCCTGTGAGCTGATTGTAGGATAGCTGACTGCAGTCAGGACAGCCGGAGAGGAACGTTGGGGAGTGCAGATGGCAGCGGAATGAAAAGGGAGTGAGAGAAGAAATGTGCTGGGGATGCCCCCTGTGAACTGATTGTGGGATAGCTGACTGCGTGCAGCCAGGGCAGCAGAAGATGAATCATTGCAGATGGCAGCGGAACAGAATGGACTTGTGAGGACGTCTTAAAAGTCAGGAATCATTGCAGGTGGCAGCAGGAATAGAAAGGGAGTGACACAAGTTTTGAGAAATGGAGCTGGACAGAGACACCGCAGGTCGAGTTGGCTTTTGAGTCGACTCAAAAGTCAACTCGGAGAAATGGAGCTGCACAGAGAGTGCATGTTGGTTGGCCTTTGAGTCGACTCAAAAGTCAACTCGGAGAAATGGAGCTGGACAGAGAGTGCATGTTGGTTGGCCTTTGAGTCGACTCAAAAGTCAACTCGGAGAAATGGAGCTGAACAGAGAGTACAGGTTGGTTGGAGGAAAGGCCATGGGGCGAGTAAGCATGGAGGTGTGAAGATGAGTGCGCAAAAATGGGCATGCACGGGGGATCTCACAGTTGAGAGAGGTTGGGCAGTGCTGCAAGGTGAGGTGGGATGGGTCTGCTCTTGAGTCGACTCAAAGGCAAGCATGGGGGTTCTCACAGCTGAGAGAGGTTGGGCAGTGCTGCCAGGTGTGGTGGGATGGGCCCACTGAAGGTATTGTAACCGAGTGATCTGAATAGACAGACAGGGAAAGAGAGGCGCACAGAGAAATAGGTGACCTTTGGGTCGACTCAAAAGTCACCTCAGTGCCAGGTGTGGTGGGATGGGCCCACTGAAGGTATTGTAACCGAGCGATCTGAATAGACAGACAGGGAAAGAGAGGCGCGCAGGACAGGAGAGGCAGAAAGAGAGAGGTTGGGCAGTGCTAGGTGTGGTGGGACGGGCCCGCTGAAGGTCTTATAGCCGAGCGATCTGGATACGCAGAGGATTTTGTAGGCGGCTTTTGAGTCAACTCAAACGCCACTTAAGCCGATCGATCTGGATACGCAGACAGGGAAAGAGGCGAGCAGAATATTGGTTCAATGATTGGGAGTTCCCCTGAAGGAGAGGAATGATGATTGTGAAATAGGTAAGAGTGCGGTTAAGGATGTGAAATCACGAGGACGTATTCAGGGCTTTCCGCTTGGACGG